TCCTGACAGCGTGAAATGACCTGCCCACCCACTCATAGAAGTATAGAACAGAGAGCACCACTAGGGAGGAATACATGTGTATCAGAAAAGGTATGGCGAATATTGGGAGCTTAGGTTTGATTAAAACACTGCATGCAAAATGCTGCATGCGGCCATATCTTCAGGTCATTGGAATTGATTCATTTCTTAAGCTTGGCTTACCTGTTTACATCTGTCGTTTCTGAAGACACAAATTCAATTGAATTTTCCCGGTTATTGTAAGATACTATACAGTATATGCTTTGATGACCCAACCATGGTACATGAACCATCATTTGCCTTGTGCTTCTCCTAGCATTTTTTTTATGTCACATCTCTCCATGCTAGCTAAATTGACAAAATCGATCAACTAGTGAAATGCGAAAAAAATTCGAAATAAATTTATCGGAGTTTATTCTTTCAAGTAGGATTTCTTTATGCTAACGGTAGTACAATGTGATGTTTATAGAAAAGCCGGTTAAACGATATTATTAACTTTATATTTAAAAATATTTTTTAAGGTGAATACATATAAATTAATTATATAATTTTTTAATCATAGAGGCCTCGAAATCACTTGATGGCATTGAAACCATCACTTTACAAGAAAAATAATTAAAAAAGCCCAAGTTCGAACCCATCGCTTTAACTACAGGTAGTGAGTGACATTGAAACCTTTGGTGAAGTAGCAGGCTGTTTGTTTTCAAGAGCCAAAATTAATTAGACTGGTGTTATTTCTAAATGTTTTAGGTCCGAACATCAGGACATTTGAAGTATTTGAGTATTTATTGTCAAATGATTAAGAGTTTTTAGAACAAATACTATCACGTTTATAATCATCTTAGATTAATCACCCTAGATTAATAAAAAAATGAATAAAACATTTAAATAGTTTTATCATTAGGGATGTGTCGATCACGAGTTGAGCAGTGTTCGATTTGACTTAAAAATTGTTCGAATTGACTCAATATTCGTTAGTTTTGATATAATTTTGTTCAACTCGTGCTCGTTAAGCTCGTCAGATTTTTTTAAATGCATGTGAAATTTAGTAATATTATATAAAAATTAATATAAAAAATTAATATATTTAATAAAAAAATATCAAAATATTGTGTTAAGTAATTTCAAAGTTTAAACTATAAAATAACATTCTAAAAATGCATTAAACCATCGTATTGCATGCATTCTTGAAAAAGAGTAATAATACATAATCAATCCTAAAAACTCAAATAACATCTTAAAAATTATAAAAAATAAAATAAAGAATTACTAGCGAACTTATGAAATCAAATTAAATCTTGTTCGAATTGACTCTTTAAGTAAACTTAAATTTAAATCAAATCAAATTGAACTGAATCGAGAAATTAACTTGATTAAATGTTTATATATAAGTGTTCGGTAAAATTTAGCTGATATTTTATATGGGTAAAATGACAAATAAGGGTGTGATACATTTAGTTGTTAAGTACATGTATGTTTTATAATACTTTAGTCTTTATTGGGGGTGAAGTTTTGACAAGGAATTAAAAATTCCTTAAGAAAATTAGTGAATATTTTTGAAAATTTTGAATATATTTTTTAAATTTAATATTTACAAATATTAACCTTGTGAGATTGATACATACTATTAATCGTGTATAAAATACCAACACTACATTTTTTTTTACTTTCATGTTTTGCTATATTTTCTTAACTAAAATATATTTAAGAATCTACAACTAAAAAATAGAATAATAAAATAAAATTTCACTAATCCATCATTAAACGTTGCATAGAATTCATTTTAGACAAGTTCATTAAAAATAAATTTAGATTACATAAATATTCAAGAAAGAGATCTATATCCGAACAAGTACAAACAAATAAGAATATTTAAGAAACATGGTTTGGTCGTCTAACTGCCATTAAACTGGTCGTGATGTCATCACGTACGTATGTCGTTTCTTTAGTATTCATACGCTCAACTTCTTGAGTGGATTCAATATTCGAAAATGTTTCCAGAGGAATAAAATTCGGATATGAATCTATGACCCTAAAAGTTGAGTCAAGAACTTTACTTAATTTGATGTAGTTATGTAAAGCAAATGCAACACAAATCATCCTATTTTTGATCTTGAGACGAATATATGGGCATTTTTGCTAAAATCTTCCAACGTGCCTTTAGAATGCCAAATGACCTTTCAATACAACTTCGTAAGAAAGAATGAGCTCGATTAAAAATTTCTCCTGTCCCTCTTGGATTTGCACCACGAAACTCTGATTGGTGATACCTTGTCTTATGATATGGAGTCAAGTAGCCTTGTCTTTCGGGGGATCTTTTGTTTGCCAAGTAATATTTGTCTAAGCATGATAAAAAAATAACACAAAATTTAAAAAAAAAATTATTTAAAAAAATGAGTGTGCACAAATAATAAGAATCCATGATTAACTAAAATGTTTTTTTATTTTAAGATTTCATTGGAATAATCGATTTACATTTACCTGAAGGAGATTTGGAAAATTTAGATTTGAGTTCCCAATTGTATCTAGGAAAATACGAGAATCATGAGTCAATCATTTCCAACCATTTAGCACATATGTGAAAAGTAAATCGAAATTGCATACCACTAATACATTAATGGTGGGTGTCCCTATCCTTCCTCTATAACGTAATTGATCTTCCTCACGAAGAATAACATCTCTATGAGTACCATCGATTATTCCAATGAAATCTTAAAATAAAAAAAAATATTATGAGATGTAAATTATTACTATAGAATAACATATATGAAATAACATCCATTAAAAGTTACCTCAAAATGTGATATATATTTGGTGTTATTAGCGATTTGTGAAGGAACTACCTTGAATTGAGGGTCTCTTGGTTTTATGATGTCCATTGACAAGTCATCCATGACATCTAAAACTTCTTTAAAACTTCTACTTACGGTTTCACGAGAATGTTGAAATCGCTTTTAGACATCCCGATTCGAGGCTCCTTTACCTAGAGTAAATACAAATAAGACCACACTCTCTAAAGTAGATATTCTATATGAAAGAAGCAACCTATACTTGCATTCTAAACTCATATTAGCAATTTGGTTGTTTGATTTTGTAGTTTAACGATGGAGAAGACTCTGATGAGAGAATCAAGTGGATTAGGACGGAGGCTATTTCATTAGATTAGGTTTTATGGCAAGGATGTAATTATGGAAATAATAAGGTCAAATATGTCATTTAACATCTTATTTTGCAATTAGCTCTCTCATACTGTTGGATTTTCCAATGTTTTTATTTTCAACTTATTTTGCACAATCAACTCTTTTAAAAATGTGTTTATCAAACACTAAAAATGAAGGATTTGACTACCAATAAGTTATTTATGCTTAAATAAACTAAAAGCTCTTCAAAAAGTTATTTACCAAACTCTCCAAAATGTTAGGCACGTACCTAGTCTGACGTGGATGTGATGGATGGTGAGCAAATATGGTAACTTTGCGGCTTTTAACAATCGCAAGTTTTTGGAATGAAATTGTGGAAGAGGAGCTTAGCTAAACATGTCATTTCTTGCTTCATATATGTCATGTTATGGTTCATCTTCAGCAGCCTTGATACCATTATATTCTCCGCATTTCTCTCAAAACATGTAAAAAAAATCAGAGAGAAATCATACATTTGTCCCCAACTCCTACGATATTCGTCCTTATTTCTGATGGACAATGTGGAGTATGTTTAGATGGTAAGTAGCAACATAAACAAGAGCCAATCATTGAGATTTGCAGCTGCCAACAAAGTTGATCCCGAGTCCAAGAGCGCCTAGAGCCTCTTGTAGGTAGACAGGCAACATAAGTGACCATGTACCGGTCACAGGTTCCTCATTTCTCGTAATAAGCATCAGAGACGTGGTTACAATGGATATGAATGGCATTGGGACCATATAGAAGTGAATTCAAATGACAAAATACAAGGTAATTCAAGGGGGGTCAAATTGAGAATCTTCTACAATGGTAATTTTTGCTTTTCTCGCTGCTTGCTATGAAAAGGATGGAGCTCACATGTGAGACACAACCACTGAGCGTGTATGACTTGAAGGGAAACGAAATCATGGTGTTTGTTGTAGGAATCAAAGAAATTTGTCCATAAAAGAAGACTTATCCTATTTAGTGTATGACCTAAAAGGGATTGGATGCATAAAAGCTGATGATGATGTAGTGTTTGTTAGAACCTTGATGATGAGAAAGAGCAGTGGAAAAGGATCAGCATTGTCGACCTTGGATGGTCTTTTTGAACTCATAAACCGGCAATGTCATATCAAGGGATGCCTTTGGCTTGCATTTTTCTCCTCCCTTTTAATTTTAAACCCCCAACCCCCCACCAGTGGGACTGTTAATTAATTAGACTACCAAGTAGCATTCACTCTCCCTCAACAATCCTAACTCCCTTCTTCTCTTTATCTTTCATCATCATTAATCCTTTGAAATGGGTTTTTAGCTATGGTAAAAAGGGACCAATCCCCCCCCCCAAATGGTCCAAGGAGAAAGCTCGAAAATTAAAACCGTCTTCGTCCTCACTCCCTAGGATCGAGGGAAGCAGATGCGGTTGAACCCCTGAAAATGTCAAATTTTTATATAATTAAAGTATTTTCTTTATATTTTCTACTGATTATCTTCATAATTTCACAGCCATAAATTTATAATATAAGTATCCCAAAACTTAAAGATAAAAAGACATTTATTACATATTTAATGAAGGTGACCGAAGTTTTAGGATACTTGCTTTAGCCAAGTTAAGCCACACACATTCTCTCTGTAAAAACAGGCAATGGCAGTTAACTGTTCAATGAAGAAAACTATAAACCCAGAAGCATTGTTCAAACTTGGCTATAACAGACAGTTACAAGTTAGAACAGGGTAGTTTGACCCTAACAAAGAGGTAAAAGCAACCAAAATTGTTTACCTTTGGATCAAACATTGTTGTGAACCAGGTGTGTAACAATTTGTTGACTATTTCAGCATTAGAAATCCATCGTCTTCATCATCGTTGTCCGCCGGAGCAGGAAGATTAAGGTCTATCAAATTAACTACCAAGGTTTGGGTTTTTGCTGCTGCTGCTAATCGACCAGTTACAATATGTGATCTTTTATGTCCACCAAGAGCTTGTCCCGATGAGAAGACTCTATAACAAACAGGACATTGATGTTTTTTCTTTTCCGACATTGAACGAGTACCCATATTTGCTGGTGACAACTCTGTTTCGTGAGCTTTGATCTTTTTGTGACTCGCTCTGTGTCCACCCAGTGCTTGGTACGAGTTGAAAGCTCTGTTGCATGTTTCACATCTGTACTTGGCTCGAGTCGTGAAGTACTCTTCTGATTCATCCGTTTCTTCTTCAACATCGCCATCTTTATGTACTTTGAATTTCCATTGGTCCCTTGAAAGCATCATGAGACAGAAGGCAACATCTTCATCGGTAGTGGCGTCGGATATGGAACTCACCGGTTCAGGCTCCCCCCAAGACTCTGTTTGACTCGGTTGGTTGGTGTTGACTTTGAGCTTCCTCGTTTCTTCATGTTGCTCTAGTGTTTTCCAAGTCCGTTTAGATCGCCTCCGAGTTGAGTTCTTAGACGACTCGGTCTCACTTTCCCTGGCTTGAAGAACAACTGAGTCGGCATCAACGAATTCAGGGTCCACTAAGCGAGTACTCTTCTTTGGATTCTCTCCAAGCCCATAAAGCTGCTCTTTCCCCTCCCCTTCTGATGAAGATGAAGGTGCCTCAGACTCTCGGCTGAGTTGACTCGGAGGAGGAATTGGAAGATTCAACATGTTAGACTTCATATGAGTGCCCAAAGCTGTTCCATTTGGTAAGCTTTTCAAGCAAAGCTTACACTTGTGTTTCTGCATTGTCAAAAACACAAAGAAACAGAGTTCAATAAACAGATCAGAAGTAGATGTTTATGTTTATGTATGTCTGAAAGTGAAAGGATGTGAGTTTTTCTTGAGGCAGAGAGTTTAAAAGAAGCATAGAAAGAGAGTGAAAGAACAAATAAAGTAGGTGACAAGCATTCATCCATACGTATCTTATACACATTTTTTTTCATTAAACTAAATTGATTATAAAATAATATATATTCTAAATAATTTTAACTATTTAACAATGAACATTCAATTATCATGTTATAGTCTTTAATGTTTAAACTTGTGATATTTAACAACAATAATAATTGTTTTAACTATCGAAATAAGTTAGTTTATACATAAACACGATAAAAATTTCTAAATAAATAAATAAAATTATTTAAAAGGGTAATTTACTTTCTCTTAAAGGGAGAATATCAATAAACAAGGATTTAATGAAAGCGTATACATGAAGGAGAAAGAGCGACACGTAACATGGGGATACTTTCTCAATTAATTTTACTGAATGAATATGAATAAGAGTATGTTCGTTCGCTTAGTTTTAATAAAATTAATGAGTAAACACATATAATTAAATGAACGATATTTTTTGTTCGTGTTCGTTCATTAAGAAATTTAGTTTATTCGTTTCCGTTCATGTTCGTTTGTTAAAGTGATAAACAAACACAAATGAACGAACGTAAATTAACACAAACGAACAAACATAAAATTAATTGATTTTATATTTGAGAAAGTTTTTTCTTTTCAAATAATTTTAGAGTTTTTATTTTCTTTAATTGATTTGAATATCTTTTATTTGGATTTAAAATTAATTGAGCTTTAAAATATTAATGAGTTTAAGGTTAAAATTTATTAAGTCTTAATATTTCAAACGGGTTTGTAGAACATATACAAACATAAACAAACGAACATATTATCAAACGTTCACGAACATAAATAAGCGAACGAGCTGACCTGCGTTGCACACCTAACTTTGGTGGGGAGTCTCCTGGCAGGGATTTTCTGCATACACAATGACTCGAATTCAATGTCTTACTTAAACGATATCAAATTGCTTACCACTTAAACTAACATGTTGGTAATAATGATAATAATTTAATATAGAATAATAATGTCAACTTTCTTGGGGTTAACTTTCCATTAATTTTGGATTTTTCGTTGAAATGTCTAATCGAAATGAAGAGTGGGGGAAATGGGCAGGAAACAATAACTAACTTCCCATTGGGAATGTAGATTTCTTTGTTGGAAGTAAATGCCGTTTTCTTAGGGCCTGAAACACTTGGCCCCTGTCCTATTGGCTGCCTTCCCATTCATTATTGTTTACGAATACACATATTTTTACATTGTTTAACAATTTACAAAGATTAAAATTTTCACAAACCGATTAATTATATTGTTGTTTTAGTCTTAATTGGAAATATTATTTTAAAAGAATTATTTTACTGTTCTAACTCTACTAACAATCACTTCATATATATTTTAATTAGTCGGAAGATCTGCTCTAAAGACTATTAATTATTTAATAATGAACGTTCACACTCTTATAGGGGACGTGCTTGAATCTGGGACCGCTAAAGAGAACAATCATCTCTTCCCGATACGAGTTGTGATAAATAATTGACAATTCATTCTGTTTCTACAGTAGGGCAGTTCAACTACTGGTGTTTTCCCCTTTACAGATATGAGTCATACATGTAACTTCCATGCATGTTCGTAAACATCGTAAAGTGACCGAGTGTATTCTTGGATTTCTTCGGGGTAAACTTAACGATGACAAATCTTAACGATGAACATAGTGGAGCTTGTGTGAGATAGGCGAATTCCAAGTTTGAATTACACCACAAGGGTGATTCAACTTCAACTGAATTTTCATAAATATCACATTTGGTTCCTATAGTTTGATAAAACATCTAATACAATATATATTTGGTTTCAACTGCAGTATGATGGATATAAGTATAGTAAGTAATGGGTTGGTGTGGATGTAGAGAGTCATACCCGCTGTGGTAGGTGATAGGTTTAAGACCTTATCCATCCCGTATCCGCTCGACCACTAATTACACACCATATAAATTTTGGATCATTATGACTTTAAGTATAATTTCAAAGATTATTATATAAATCTTGAGATTTTATAGGATAAGACTTGTAATTTAACCAAATGTTAGGGTCTAAACTCAATAATTCTTGGTTTTTTAAGGTTTATATAACAAATAAATACTTAAAGTATACTATTTTTTTATTCAAGTACCTAATGTATTGTTTGGTCAAAATAAGTACTTAAAGTTAATTTTTTTTTTGGTAAAAATAGGTATCTAAAGTATTTTTTGATCAAAATATGTACCTAAAATATTCAATTTTTTTCATTAAAGTACCTAAAGTATTATTTAGTACTTAATGTCACATGTTAACTTTTTTAGAACTTAGATGAAAAGTTTTGAATAGTTTACGAACCTATGTTGACATAAAATACTTTAGGCACCTGTTTTGACTAAAAAGATAACCCTAGGTATTTATTTTGACCAAAAAATACTTTAGGTACTTAAAAAATATAGTTTATATACTTATTTATGATATAAGTCTTTATTTTCTTATGCTTTTTAATGGATGCACTTATTTTATATTTTGTTGCTTATGTAATCTGTGAGATTGGTACTAGGCGAGTATGGACGGATCCATGTGGGTATGGGATGGGTAGTGGGTATCCAGTTGAGTAGTGAATGTAGGGATAGATTAAAGAATGAACACACGCGAATGAGTGTGGGTTTAAAAATTTTACCCCTTCGTAAATAATAAATAGATAATGAATACAAAAATATTAAATGAGTACGAGGATAGAGGAAAGGTCGTGAATAATAAATAGGTAATAAATATCAAAATATTAAATGAGTATGAAGAGAGAGGAAATGTATCCACATTTGCCCTCCCGGTTTGTCATCTTAGATACGAGCATTCATATCATTGGAAATATCATAACTGGTCCAACCTTATACATCCCATCTACTACAGGCCCAACGGCCTGGCAGTCTAGATTGCAGGGGCCGTCACACCTATTGCAGGTCCAACATAATCTTACAGCATCATAAAACATGTTTTAAATCAGTCTTAAGCTGTTAAAACTCATTAACTAGTTGCATGGGTATTCAAGTAATTTCGATGTGTACCGACTTTTGAGAATTTTCACTCTCATACTATTTTAATTATTTTGTTTCTTATGGCCAATTCATCATTTCACTATACCAGGTATTGTAAAAAAATTCAGTCCACAAGGATATTTTTGATAATTTTATTGACCAATATTTGTTTAAACATTAACAATGTTTTAGGATTTAACATTATTTTTGTAATAATTAATATTATTTATTTGAATTTTAAATTTTCATAGTCATAATTTATACAATCAAGCAAATTTGAATTATTAAAATACAATTATATTATAATAAAAAAGAAACTATCATATTATTTTGAGAATTTTTTTTGTATATATCATCATTAGATTAAATTATCATATTACGTTGAGAAATTTAAATTTATGTCCGAGTTTTTTTTTTAATAATGTTGGCTTATCAAATGTCTATTACAAACCATAAATTTAATTATTACTTAATTTCTCGGTGGGCCTTTGTCTCACTACATATAAAAGAAACAAAAAGGGGAATTGATTCGAAATTACTCATACGATTTAAGCTATAACCCATATTTCATTAATTTTTCTTAATAATAATTCTTCCAAAAACACATGTAATCAAGCAATTAACACCGAGTCTTGGCCGATAATACCTTAACTTACGTATACTTAATTTATATTGTCCATGTATGACCACCTATTTAGTGCTTAAAGTTAACAACTGATCTATAGGTCTTTCCTGGCTGCCAGCCCGCCGGAATGACACCTGCTGCCGCAATGCATTCGCCGGAGCCGAGCGACGTTAGCTTGATCGAAAACTATACCAAAGTGTCCACATCTCAATGTCAATCCTTAACAACAAGCAACTCGCTCTCAATTTATAATGTTTGAAAAATATACATGACGGTTAAAAGTAATATATTAATTTTTTTATTAATTAAGAATGATTATATTATAGTATTTGTTTAAAAAATATTATTTGATAATAAATGTCTGCATGCCTTAATAAATTGAATATGAGGACTTTAAAAACAACTCAATTAATAACTTTAAAATGTTGTGAGTTTAAATATATTTAAGTGTAAAAACAGGGTTTTGTAATAATATAATTCTAGCAGCTCTTTCTTTCCTTTTTTTTATTTATTGAGATTGTGTTGTCTTTAATAGATTATACTATTTTTTCCCTTTGATTTTGTTTAGTTAGCGGCGGCACCGGCTTTTATGTTGATTGTCGATCTTCAATTCTATTTTCTCTCTTTTTTTTAAATAAGAATGATTCTATCTTTGTGGCACGTTTATCTCTGCCTTTGTGGTACATCTATCTCTGTTTTTGTGGTACGTTTATCTTTGTCTTTGTGGTTCATTTGTCGATGCAATCAAATTTGTTTAAATCTATTTTTGTTCTAGTCTTTTGGTTGTGTTTTTAACCTTTTCCATGCATGGTCATTATATAATTTAAAGTGGTTAATTTTAATGTTATAGGAAAATATTCAAATTATGTATTTAGTTTACGATGATAGTTGTAAACCCTTATTGTAATTTTAGATGTTTTTACTTTTTAATAATACTGACAGCTTATATATGTATATATAAGTGTAAATAATAATTTAGGTTAAGAATTTGGGACGTGAGGAACATAAAGAAATTTAGGTAGCTTTTGATCCACCAGAGAAATTTCTTACCAAAGTTTGTGGCTAACTATGAATTTCAAAGTACAAATAACCCCTTGAAGTTGTTTTCTCTTTAATTTATTTATCAATTTGCTCCACAATATTTTTTTCGAATTGACAACTAGACTCCAAACCACCATTTGCTAGAAACTCAACTCCTAGGATTCATCAGGGATAGGGAGAGAACAACAAAAATCTATTAATCAAAATCAATTTATATACTAGTGTTTAAATAATTTATTATTTACTTGAAACATTATCTTTTAAAAAATATATTTATAGAGAAAAATTACAAATTTATTAAAAAATATTAAAAACCATAAATTTATCAATATAAAATATAGAATTTCAACCTAAAATCAATATAAAAAAACTGATAATTGAGATTAAATAAAACTAAATATCATAAATGTTTAAAAATTTTAAAAACTGAACTGAATGCAGCATTAAGTTTAAGCGTGTTCATTATAAATACCAATAATTATTAGGGCAAACTATGCATTTAGTACCTAAACTATCATTTTTGATCCGTTTTATTACCTAAACTTTCATTTTTTTTTTCAAAATGTAACGTTACATTTGGAACAGTGATACTAAAATGAAACAAAAACTAAAGTTTTTAAGGGTGGGGTGTTGAAATGAAACAAAAACTAAACTTTAGATATAATTTGAAAAGAATTAAAAATTTATATACTAAAACGGACAAAAATCGATAATTTAAATACTAAATACATAATTATCCTAATGTTTAATTGGATTAATGGGTCAATAGAATAAATAATTCACATCAAGTATTTTTGAACACCTCTAATTAAGATTCACCTGAATGAAATTTGCAGCAACTGAGTCCTGTAGAACTTGGTTAGCTTGGCCGAACTTTACAAACATTGGCCCAACATCACCAGCTGCACAAATTAGCAGAACATGTATGCGTATAGTGAAAGTTATGCTTTCTTGACAAGCAAACACCCTCTCAACGCATGAACCGAGCAATCTTTGTAGTAAATGAATTATTGTTATTCTTTGAGGTTTCGGATTCGAGCACCAAGAATGTCAAGGTGTAAGCGTTCAATATCAAATGGTTAAGAGTTATCTTTGAACAAATACTACCTTGTATTAACCTCATATTAAGTGCATTCTTTTTTTATAAAAAAAAAGTGTGTTCATACAACAAACCTAAGTGCTTCCTACTATTACATGTATTTCCAGAATATTCACCGTGAACTCTGCAACATAATTCGCTTCACGGGATACATTGCCGGATTTGAGTTTGCCGATTATGATTGTCTTAGCTCAAGTTGGAAACTTTGCTTGAGCTCTTCAACTTCAATTGTGGATAGTAGAAACCCCGTATCAGAGATTTAAATTATGGTTGCGGTCGCGTTTCCGACGATTGTGGGTATTGTGGTCATATGATAACGGTCACGGACGGCTATTTAAATCTCTGCTGACCATACGTTTTTGTGTTTTTACCTCTAAGATTGGCAAAGCCACATGTAAAAGCTACAGGTTATACCTACTGACGTAATTGCATGGGTTTGGTTTTGGCCACGGTATTACTTGAGTTTAAAGCAGAAGCAGTAATGTTCAGGGTTTTAAATCGCGGTCGCGGTCGCGTTTTCGATTATTTCGGATTTACCGTGATTGCGGCCGTCGTGGGTAACTCGGACGGCGGCGAAACCGCTATATCGCGGTCGCGGACCGTTTTTTAAAACCATGGTCATGTTGCTTGGGTTTTAATGAACTTGTCCATAAATTGCACTTAAAAGGATAAAGAGATTCCAACTCTCAATTGCAGGACATAATAAGCAATAGCCACATAAATGCTGGTGTTTAACATGGAAACCTCATTACTAAACTTCAAGTTTGATACATAGCGCACTTTTAGCGGCGTTTACGAAAATGTGCAGCCATTGCATGCACCTTTACTGGCGTTTTATCCAAAACGCTGCAAAAGATTAATAATATGTGGCGTGTTTTGAAAAACGCCGCTAAAGAAGCGTACTTTTGTGTCATTTATAACGCAAACGCCGCAATTCTTCAGACCCATTAGGGCAGATTATGATTTTTAACTTTTCCTCTATTCTTTTATCGGTTTTCTACAGCAATACAAAACCACAACCTTGGAAGCGACAAAACAAAATCTTAGTTTTGGATCTTAAGCAGCTCGTCAGCTTTCACGAACGGCGATAGAAATCAGTTTTAGAGGCTCTCCTTCAACGTTCTTTGAGCTCGTTTTCTTCTTCTCACAACTCCGATTCTTTCCCTGGTCATGTATAGTTGAAATTTTTGTTTTTTATTTCCATAATCATGTTCGATTTATTATGTGTAAAGCTAGGTCGCCCTTTTTTTTTTTGAAATTTGAAATTTGACCAAGGAAATGAAGAAGAACCCCAGGTGGAGGAGCAACGACCGGCTTCAACTACAGCACCAAATGGTGGAAGAGGATGGAGTGGTTGGGGTTTCTCTTCGTTCTCTGTTCTCTCAGATCTTCAAAAGGTTGTCACTGTTGCCGCAGAGGAGATCTCTCGCAGTGTACGCTTCATTTGGATTTGAGCCAATTCAGACCATGTTTAATTTAGTAGGTTTTTTATATTATGAAGCTTTACTTTTCATTGGTTCATTCAACGGGTTATGATATTTCTTAAATGATGTCAATCCTATTATTACAGAGGTTGTTTGCCAATAGTTTTCATATGGACTTGAAAAACAGTACAAGATTTCAATAAACTAAATAAAGAAATTATCCATATATAATTTTTAAAAATTAATGAAGAAAATTTGTCTATAGTTACGTATCTTGGTTGTGCTTGTATCAATAAAAATTGAAGCTGAAGCTGAAGCTTTTCTTCAATTTCTTGCTCGTTGAACTATATATGTTATTTTATAGATGCTAGCAGATTTCAAAGCAGTTTGTCTCATAGAGATGTAATAGACTTTTGTTCCTGTAGTTCAAAGCAGTAGGTGGAGCTACTCAACCAGAGTACCGAACCTTATCAACCTCGACAACTATGCAAGGTACCTGAAAATACTACTATCTGATTCATCTAGTACTAGTAACTAGGATTTTTTTCAATTAATTCTTTTCGTGTTTCTTGTCATTTGTTTATGGTGCTTGTATACTATCAGAAAGCATTATACGTAGTTTAATTTCACATTTGATTGTTATTTTAGGAAAAGTATTATTCAGAAAGAGAAAGAAAGGACAATTATAATGATGAAACATTTGGTACTCCCCATAACCTGAGTCAAGATAGAGCAGAGAAGGAAAAAATGAGAAGAGGTAGAATCTGGTTTTCTGGTGGTTTATGTTTTTATTGCTTTGATAGTCACAGTTTCAACCGGCTAAGATTTAAAGTGACATGACTTTCCTTGTGTTTATTGAACAAACTTCTCTGCTCAGATTCATTTGAATTAACGAGGAAGGAACAAGACATGGTCACTCAAAAAAAGCCAAAATCTAGCTGTCAAGACCTTGAAGAGAATTTGAACCCATATATTTATTTTACGCCTTTGTCAAAGATAATTCTGTTTATTTTGGAACTATTATTGAATAGAAAGTAACAATGCTAAGTTTTTAGTTTGGTTGCATGGTTAATCTAATTCTTCGGGAAGTTGTAGGCTCCACTAATGTACAACATTTAAGTATTATTTAATGAAACATGTCCTTTTTAGCCTTGTTAATGTGATAAAAGAAATAGAAGAAACTCTGAGTGGGTTAGTCTACATAGTATTTGTAGTTTATACAAAATCCATATGACACTCCTTGTTAATCTCTTAAGGGTCATCGCTGGTTAATTCAATTTTATTAGAAACAACAATCGTTTCTCTAGTTTCAAGCATTCGATACTTTGTTTTAGATTCATCAGTAAAGTAAATTGATACAATGAACTGCATAGGAAAAGCTGCATTGGAGTTGACCTATGTTTTGATCTTGATTTTGATTCTGAGTAAATTGTTGTTTGTTTATCGTAGATATTATACCAACGAGGAGATTGAAAATCAAGTTATTGCTGAAGTTTTGGGTCTTGAAAGATATGGTTGGGTTCACTTTCAAGGATCATTTGGTAACTGAAATGAGGTAAGCAACATATAAGAAACAATATGAAGACTTTCAAACTAAACTTCAAGCTATGAAGAACATGATACAATAGAATCAGGCGCAGAATCCACCATCTTAGGTGATTTTTTAGGTTCATACTTAACAATGATTCATCAAACAAGGAAAACTATTTTGTTTACTTCCTTTCCTTGTGAAGTAGCAATGAAGACTCAGAGATCGTGCATGTAACATAGGTTGAACATGTGAGAGTTGAGAATAATTTGCTTGCAGAAGTTGCCAATTTGTAAACTTCTTTGTTTGTAAACTTTGATTTATTTATGTCAACTATTTTTAATTAATTCGAGTTGTAATTAAATTTTAAGGTTGTTATTGGATATTGTTACATGATATTAAATTTGGATACCAAATAGCAGAAAATAACATTTGCAAAACATTTTCATTTGCGACATTTTAAGATTAAAAATGCCACTAATGGGCTACAAAATTGTGGTGTTTTCAATTAAAAATGCCATTAAATTACCTACTTATTGCAGCATTTAAAAGAAAAAAGACGCTAAATGTATGAACTTATTGCGGTATTTATAAGAAAAATGCCGCTAAATGTTTGAACATATTGTGGCATTTATAAGAAAACCCGCTAAATGTTTGAACCTAATGCGACATTTGTAAGAAAAATGCCGCTAATGTCTGAACCTTTTGCGACATTTTTTTATACAAACGTCGCCAATGTATGCCGAAAAGATTTTTTGCGACGCTTAAAAACGTCGCTATAGCCCTATTCTAACCTATCGATAATTTCAAAGCTCAAACCATGTATGCCCATCATTTCCCATTACTATCTTATTAGAATACAATTTTCTTTAAGAGGAAAAACACACAGCTAAATTAGATGATGTCGTCCTTTAATATCAATAACCAGGGATCAAATTAGTCTTTTATTTAAAATTTAAAGACAAATTAAAATTTATTTATTTATTATTAACATATCATGTTAATTAATTAACGGAAGTCAACAACTTAACAACCAAAACAAGACATGAAAAATAAAATTGAGCAAAACATGATTTTTTTTAATTGATGGCTAAAATTGAAAATAAAAGAGGTCCTTATTACTATTGATCCTTTTAAAAAATTGGTCGCAACTTAAAATGTAAATTTTTCTTAATTTTTTTCAGTTGAAAACATTTTTTATAACATTTTCGGTTATCAACTAAACCAAAATTATTATAAATTTTTTAATATTTTCGATCACGTTCGGTTTTAGTTATTCAACCTTAAATTAAACTTTCATAATACAGATTATCCCAAAAAACTTCAAAGGTTGAAAAAGAATCTTATCCACAGATAAAGCTGGGTTACTTCTGAATCACAGGTTACAAGCGTCAACAGATTTTAAAGTACACCGCCAATTATTATGGCAATAATTACAAAATACAAAAATGAAGCAAAGTGTTTCTCAAGATTAATTAGCTTCAGAATTTTATATTACATTTTTCAAGATTTTGTTTTGACCCTGTTGTGAAAGAAGAAGAAAAACCATACTCTTGTCTCTTAGGGGTTGTCAGATTCAACAGAATCCACCAAATCCACACAAGACAAACCCTAGTTCTAGCTTCATCTACCCTCATTACCATAAAATCTTCAACTTAAAGCCAAGAGCGCACCTTTTTGCAGTTTTGCTTAATAAGTTGTTCAAACCCCTCTTACCAAACATTTTAGTTTCGGAGACAGAACACTAAAGCATGTTATTTACAAGCCAAGATGCAGCAATATTCCCACCGTCCTCTCACCACCACCACCACCACCCCGTCAACTTCTCCGCCATCGGAGCCTGATATAACATCTTTCCAGCCACTTTCATTGGACCCGTCCGCACCGGATTACACCTCCCTCCTCTCCGACGAACTCTTCCTCAACGTTTTCTCCAAGCTTCCCATCTCTCAACATGTCTCCAATTCCTTGGTCTGCAAACGCTGGTTGTACCTCCACGGCCGGTTGGTGCAGTCACTTAAAGTTACGGATTGGTCGTTTCTTACTTCGGGTCGGGTATTTATCCGGTTCCCCAATCTAACCGATTTAGACTTGGTCCGTTCGTGTATTGGGATGTCAAAGTGTTCCGGCACTATGTTAACCCAGAAAACTATGTCGGTTCGTGTTGATACCGGTTTCACTCTCGACGGATTTCTCGAAGAAACGGCGTTGTTGCCGACAAATGAGGTCGACGGAGGGCTTACGACGATAGCCGAAAAGTACCCGAATTTACAGAGATTAGTGGCGATTGGGGCAAGCGAACAAGGGTTGTTAAGAATAGCCGAGGAGTGTTCCACGTTGCAGGAATTGGAGCTACATTGTGGAGGGGATTTGGCTTTGAAGGCCCTTTCGGGGATTAAAAACTTACAGGTAGTGAAACTGATTGGGTTCATTGATGCGTTGTACAACTCGACGATTTCAGACATTGGGTTAACACTATTGGCTCAAGGGTGTAGAAGATTAGTTAAGCTCGAGCTCTGTGGGTGTGAAGGAAGCTATGATGGGGTTAAGGCCATTGGGCAGTGCTGTCAAATGCTCGAAGAATTGACCCTTTCAGAACATAGAATGGATGGTGGGTGGTTAGCTGGGCTTTCGTTTTGTGGGAACTTGAAGACCCTGAGGCTTAGGTTTTGTAAAAGTATTGATAAGTGGCCAGGTGCAGATGAGCATTTGGGATCTTGTTTGACTCTCCAAGAGTTGCATTTGCAGGGCTGTCAAATTCGGGAGACGCAGAGTGTTAAAGCTTTGTTCTTGGTTTGCCAGAATGTTAGGGATATTGTTTTACATTATTGTTTTGGCTTAGAGGATGATGTGTTTGGCCTCGCAAGCATTTGTAGGTACGAGTCTCCTTTTCCATTTTCTATAGGATCATTTCTTTTACTTTGATTGCTGTGATTCATGTGTAGTTTCGGATGCTTAGCTAAAGCTAGCTTCCAGCCTTTGATTCATAGGTAGTACTTGTTGCATGTTTCGTAATGCATTGTTAGTTTGTAGGAAACTGGTGATCTTATTAAGAATATGACTTTGATCGTTGATTTAATCTTTAAGATTATCTGCAATAACATAGCAATGAATTTCTGGAAAGTTCAGAATTTGGTTTACAAATGACCAAGTGGGACATTCCCTTGCTCTTGATGCTTAATAGTTTGAAATGTCTCAGTTATCTTCTCATGGTGTGGCTTCGAAATCAGTTTACGACCATTTTCTGCTCCCCTTATTCGAAATCTGATGGCGGGTTTATATTGTTCTTTTCTGTAACTTCATAGGAGAGTGAAGCTTCTTTCTCTGGAGGATGCTCGTTGCTAACCATCAAAGGTTTGGAGTCGGTAGTGATTTCATGGAAAGAGCTTCAACGATTGAGAGTGATGTCATGTCGTAATATCAGGGATACCGAAATCACGCCTGAATTGGCAACCTTATTTTCTACGTTGAAAGAGCTGAAATGGAGACCAGATTCCCGGTCTCTGCTATCGTCGAATCTTACAGGGACCGGAATGGGGAAGAAAGGTGATAGATTCTTCAAGAGATGGAAGGATTGACTGTGCCGCTTGATTCCATACAATCTGGTTTTGAAGCAGCTGCAAAAAAACAGATGTGAAAAGAAACAAATATAAACACCATAGGATTCTACAACCACAATCCATGTTCCAGAACTTGATATGTTCATGATGATGATAACAGGGGAGGAACTGCCATTTGTTAAATGGATTTTAGTGGCAGAGGCCAATTTTTTCTAGTTTCATTAACAAGTAGTCATCTGACTTGTTAGTTGATGTAAACGGAAGGGTTAATAATGCAGTTCATTGTTCCTACACTCTTCGTTCGAAGTTCAAACTGACCCTAGTTAGGATCTATCGTGACTAAATCTACAGACCAATGGAGCATTTATAGACTCTATTGGTTTATAGATATGACAAGCGTTGAGTTTATCAAATAAAATTAATTCTTAATTCTCATATAAATAAATATAGTATAGAGAAGTAGGTAAAGTAACGAGAAAATAAATAAAATAAACAAAGTAAAAGAATTCAATAAAAATGATATAGCCTTAGGTTTTGCTTAGTCTCAATTTCGATCGATCATCGAAATTTCTTAGTCTATCTTCGAAATCCGATCTTTGTTGGTCTAACCAATTTACAACCAACCAATCTGACTTTCAAACCTCATGCAAAACAGTCTTCAAATCAACGTTGCCTTTTGAATTGAACATGTAATAATTTTTAAAGACTGACCGATTGTCACTCTCAGTTTCCAGAAAATCAAAGAATACGATATGAAGATATAAAGATCAAAACTCAATTCTCACTATAGAATTGAGTTTCACAAAAACCTTTAGTTAAGAAGAAATTTTAGTAAAAATATGAATTGGATCATGCTTAGCGTTATGAAAAATAATAATAAAAGAAAAT